ACGGTCCTGTTTCACTACATGACTTTTAACATTGGTTGAAACTTATATAGAAAGGTGGTATATGTATAATTCAGGATATACCTGGTTTCTATGAAGTTAAACTTAAGATAGAATAAATAGAAAGCTGTGAAAATTGAAAAATTTGGTTGAATAGATATGGATTTGAATTTGTGGTCTGACGCTGCTGGTTCCTATTTGTGGTGTGCCTGAACATCAAGATACATTTAGTACATTTTTCATTGGCAAATATTTGTACAGAGGAAAGTGGAAATGATTAGTGGCAATCCTTAGAAGTACATTTACATGTAGATCTCATTTCAATTTATTAATTATACCCCACGCAACGAGTTGCGGTGGGTATAATGTTTTTGACCCGTCCGTCCGTCAGTCCTGTTTCTTGTCATCACAACTCCTCTCAAACCACACAATAGAATTTCACGAAACCTTTTTAGATAATAAGGACATACTATGTAGTTGTGCATATCGACAGGAAATTACGATTCAATTCTTTTACAGGAGTTACGCCCTTTTGAACTTATTTACTTTAATGTTCTACTGCAAGTTTGTCATCGCAACTCCTCTCAAACCACACAACAGAATTTCATGAAACCTTTTCAGATAATAAGGACATACTACGTAGATGTGCATATCGACAGGAAATTACGATTCAATTTTTTTTTCCAGGAGTTACGCCCCTTTGAACTTATTTGCCCAATATACTACTGCAACCTTTTGTCATCGCAACTCCTCTCAAACCACACAACAGAATTTCATGAAACCTTTTCAGATAATAAGGACATACTATGTAGATGTGCATATTGACAGGAAATTATGATTCAATTTTTATACGACCGCAAAAGTCGTATATTGGTATGACGTTGGCGTCGTCCGAAGACACATTGGTTTTCACACTCTAACTTTAGTTTAAGTGAATGGATCTCTATGAAATTTTACCATAAGGTTCAATACCACAAAAGGAAGGTTGGGATTGATTTTGGGGGTTATGGTACCAACAGTTAAGGAATTAGGGGCCAAAAATAAGGATTTTTGTAACTTCCAGACATAACTTGTGTGTTAGTGTCTGTATCTTTCTGAAATTGTACTACAAGGTTCTATATCACAAAGTGAAAGCTGGAATTGAGTTTGGGGGTAATTGCCCAAAACGTTTAGGAATAAGGGGCCAAAAATAAGCATTTTTCTAGTTTCCAGACAATAACTTGTGTTCAAGTGTATGGATCTCTCTGAAATTGTACTGCAAGGTACCATACCACAAAGGGAAGGCTGGGATTGAGTTTGGGGGTGATGAATCATAAGGGGATTGAAAAAATTTGGGGGGGGGGGATTTTTTTTTTTTTTCCTTTTTTTTTTATTTTAAAATTTTACATTTTAAGTTGGTTATTTCTGTTTTATATTCAAAAGCAAATAATAATGATATGATAGGAGATACACACCAAACAGGATGTGTAAATTATTATATAATAAGTATTGTGCAATAGCAGGAAATTTTCAATTGCACAATAGCAAGAAATCTTCAATTGCACAGTATTGCTCAATAGCAAGAAATCTTCAATTGCACAGTATTGTGCAATAGCAAGAAATATCCAATAGCACAATATTGCGCAATAGCAAGAAATTGTCAATTGTACAGTATTGCGCAATAGCAAGAAATATTCAATTGCACAGTATTGTGCAAAAGAAGATACTTCGTATAAATTGCTTATTTCTTGACCAATTTCAATGGGGTTTTATTCTTGAATTCTTGGGGTTCTTTAATATGCTGATTCTAACCATTTATTAAGTTTTTGGATTTCGGGCCCCGTTTATAAATTGGTCCACATTGAGGTCCAAAGGGTCCAAAACTAAACTTTGTTTGATTTCATCAAAAATTGAATTATTTGGGTTCTTTGATATGCCGAATCTAACCGTGTATTTAGATTCTTAATTTTTGGTTCTGTTTTCAAATTGGTCTACATTAAGGTCCAAAGGGTCCAAAATTAAACTTAGTTTGATTTTAACAAAAATTCATTAATTGAATTCTTAGGGTTCTTTGATATGCTGAATCTAAACATGTATTTAGATTTTTGATTATGGGCCCAGTTTTCAAGTTGGTCCAAATCGGGGTCCAAAATTAAACTTTGTTTGATTTCAACAAAAATTGAATATATGGGGTTCTTTGATATGCTGAATCTAACCATGTATTTAGATTTTTGATTTTTGGGCCCCATTATCAACTTTGTCCACATTGAGATCAAAAGGGTCCAAAATTAAACTTTGTTTGATTTCATCAAAAATTGAATTCTTGGGGTTCTTTGATATGCTGAATCTAACCATGTATTTAGATTTTGGATATTGGACCATAATAGGTGAATGTCCAATTTAAAATTTTTAAGCTCTTAGACCACATTCATTCTGTGTCAGAAACCTATGCTGTGTCAAATATTTAATCACAATCAAAATTCAGAGCTGTTTCAAGCTTGAATGTTGTGTCCATACTTGCCCCAACTGTTCAGGGTTCGACCTCTACGGTTGTATCAAGCTGCGCCCTGCGGAGCATTTTATTTTCTCTGATACAATTTTTTTTTCTTACACTTATTTTATTTCTCCAATGACAATGTATGTGAGCGTGCTCACTAAGGTTCTTTCATTATATTTATTGCTTATCATCCTGTTGCATAAGTAGTCTTCATGAAATCTATTCATGAATATTTATGGTATATATTATAATATATATAAATAATAATTGTAAACATAGTAATGAATTATCAAGTTTTATTTAAAACAAATTTGATATTGTATTTAAATGCCAAAAAAAAACCTAATGAAGGGATGATTTACACTGAACAGTTGATTATGCTTGTGTTTTGCAATAAGTATTTCATTTTGTCACCTTCAATTTTAATGCCCCCGCCGTGCCAGAGGGGGCACTTAGTGTTACCCTTGTCCGTTTGTACGTCCCAAAAAATAGTTTCTGTTCTCTGACTTTATAATTAGTTTGCCTCAACCAAAATTAAGAAAATTGTACACAATGCCAATAACCTCAAAACACAGATCAAGTTCGAATTTGGGTTGCATCACTTTTACCATTCTTGAGTTATGTCTCTTTATAACATTATATGCAAGCGTTATATGACATCATCTGAGTGAGACTGAGTCCCATGGACACATTCTTCATTTATTTTCTATGCAATTCAAATAAAACTATGTTGGTTTTTTTTTTTTTAAATTATTATGAGGTCATGATCCTTTCTGTTTTACATTTGAATGAACTTGCAATGGTAATTTCTGTCATATTTGGTCTCTTGTGGAGAGTTTTCTCATTGGCAATCATACCACATCTTCTTATTATTTTTATATTGCAATGGTACATGTATATGTACAAATAGAAGCAGAATTATTTGAATTATGTTCATTTATTTGCTTATATTGATGTGAAGTGTACTCATTTTTAACTTTTTCATTTTCATTACACAAGTGTTTTTTTATGTCTAGAAATTTGCTACATGTATGTACAGTATGACAAAGTCAAATAATGAAAGTATAATAAATGTACACACAGGTGCACTGCAGTTAATTTAAGTACATGCAATTATGATTCATCAATGATTTTAGTACATGTTTCTGTACTTGTTGGACAAATTTTGTACATTTCATTAAGAATTTTGTAGATCTCACTTAGAATATTCTGGATTTCCCTCAGTAGTTAGTTTTCTCCAACTTTTTATGCCCCCACCGTAGCGGAGAGGGCATTAAGTTTTACCCTTGTCCGTCTGTATGTCTGTACGTCCCACAAATTGGTTTCTGTTCTCTAACTTTAGTTTGCCTCAACCAAATGTTATGAAACTTATACACAATGCTTATTACCACAAAACACAGATTAAGTTTGCATTTTGGTGGCTTCACTTTAACTGTTCTAGAGTTATGCCCCTTTACAAATGGAAAAATTGCTGAATTTTTCGTTTCTGTTCTTTAACTTAAGTTTGCTTCGACCAAATGTTATGAAACTTATACACAATGCTTAGTACCACAAAATTCAGATCAAGTATGAATTTGGGTAGCGTCACATTTACCATTCTTGAGTTATGTCCCTTTATAAAGTTGTATGCAAGCCAGGGCATCATTTGTGTCCCATGGACACATTCTCCATTTATTGATAATCACTTGATTAAGATATTTTACAAATATGCAGAGTATCAGACTTGAAAGTGACTACTTTGAATAGATAGTCTTCAGGCTCAGCAGCGGACCAACCATTCCAGTATAAGGCCTGTAAGAATTTCAGCTACTATACATATACATGAACATGCCAATACAATCTATTTAAAAATTTCCCAAAAAATAAGTGTCTAGTCTGTGTATGCAAAAGTGTATCGTGAAGACTGTAGCTGTAACCCAAATAATTTGGTCATTATATTCTGCTGCTCTATGACATTACAGCTACAAGTACATTAACGCCTGAAAGCCTCATCAATGAAAAATTGTCAATTAATCATTTGGAATTAGCTCGGGATTTACCTATCTGGATAATATTAAACTATTATTGCTCGTACAGAGAGCAGAAGTCAAAATCCTGATTTTGTGACACATTTCTATCGTTTAAAGAGGTCAGCCCTCGTGAGTGGGAGAGTAGATCACTTAGTGGGACTGAATTATTTGGGTTAAGATAGCTGTAGAATCTCCTTTTCTTAACTTCTACTCTTAAATACGTATACCAAGTACACTGTACATTTCTATTTGACTAAATTTTGAAGATTTTAAGATTGATTATACACTTTCATAGCAGTAGTTGTTTTTAGGTCAATTAAAAATTGCAACTTAATCTGCATGCATTTACATGTATGTTTTGATTAATCATTAAAAGAATATTAGCTATTTTGTATTCTTTGCAGGATATAGAAGAAATCAATGTTTGTTCTAAAAGAATACTAAACAGGGTTGGAATTACATGTTTAATAGCAGACAGTTATGGATATTGGTATTTAGAAATTACTTTACTTTTTCAGACACCGTCGAGCAGAATGGAAATGGGCCTCAGAGAGAGCTAATGTGGCTTCACGGTGGACGTGGTTACAAGCTCAAGTTTCTGATCTAGAATATCGAATTCGACAACAAAGTGAAATCTATAAACAAATTCGACATACAAAAGGACCAGTTCTTCTAGGAGAACAGCCTTCTCCTGAAGATTTGTTATGGCGAATCCGTCAGAACAGAGCAGGACAAAAGTTGTCACCACTGGAACAAAAAATAGCAAATCTAGAACGCAAAAATGAAGCTTTGGCATCCCCGTGTAATATATCTAATTTAATGATGAATGTTAATCGACAAGCTTCAAAGTTGACTCAGTCTCTGGGAACAGTATCACCTGCTCAGAGTACGTCTGTGATGGCAGGAGATACAAAATTAACACCAACTTCACAGGCTAAACATTTGAATGGAGTGATAGGTACTAGTCACAGAGATGGTCAGAATGTCACAATAGGACCAGGTGGTGACGGCGATGTTACGCCACATTCATCTCCCATCAATCATGACATTACATGTCAGGCATCGCGTTGCCGTCCTGTGCGTAGTTATAGGAAACGTAAACTGTTACGAACAGCTGGACTACACAATGTTAGTAGGAAAGCTGCTCGTCTTTCAACTGTGAAATGTCAGTGTTATCCTCCAATCTCATCATGTCCAATGTGTGGAGGACGTTACAATAATGTACAAAGGATAGATGTAGATAGTTTCCCACTGCAGGATAGAGTTGCCATTCTTGATCCAGCCTTTCATCCTGTGTTGTCTTTCAATCAAGGTGAGCTATGCACACTTGTTACAGTACACTGAAAAATCATTCTTGTTGGGGTTGGTTGAATCAAGGTGAATGAGGGTGATTTAGAGTTAAACCACCCTGACAAATATTACTATTGAGATAATTCTACGTAAGTCTTCCATATTCACCAGCAGTCAGTGTGTAATTTCACCTCCAAGAGTTATTTTTAGCTGCATCATGTACAGTACAACCATACTCTGATAATGCATGGTGCCCATAAAAACAATGTCCACCTTGATGGTCCTTTATGTCCATCATAAGACCACCTGCTGCTTGATTAATACACTTGGTATTTATCAAATCACCAGTCAAGGGCAAAGGGGGTGCTGATTGCATTTTTATGTTAAAATTAAATAGCTTACAGGTACATTGTAAATGTTGGTACATGTACATTTTTGTACAAATGTATATATGATGTATCTCAGGTAAATTACATGTGTTTGACAAATTGTACATTTAATTACTATGATAGAAAAGTCAAAAAGGAATAAAATAGTAAACCACTAATAATACATGTACATCTATCATGCAAATGTGAAAAGTGAATACATCACATATGTATGGTAGTATTCAATTGTATTACAAGTACATGACTATACAACCAAAACACATTTAATACATGAATATATTCAGGAAGTTTTAACTTTGTAGCAACTAAATGAAGAACTTTTGATCTTAAAGCTACATGTATTTGCTTTTTGTTGGTCTAGTCCACCTAAATGTTAAAAATTAAAAACGGATTTAGTGCAAAGCATTTGAAACTAAAATTGAGAGAGGAAAAACACCTGGACTTATTTGGATGCATATACATGTATATGGTAGCTATAATTAGGGCCAAAATAGAAGTATTGTTTGCTTAAATGCAACTGACTTGGAAAAATACTCAAATTTGACAATTGTTAGTTAACACAATTTCTTGATTAAAACCTGTGAAAATCTTCAATTTTACTCTATATCTAACCAAAATTAGTAAAAAAAAATGTGACTGTAATGACCTTTTTCTCTGTTTTTCTCCTGAAGCTCTTTATGTCATCTTTTGTTCAATAAAATTGATTTTGTGACTAGTCAATTAGAAATTCAGTATACTGTGGATTCATTAATAATATTGGTGGGATATAACGTTGATATTTAGGTAAACCATGAATTTTAATGTTCAAAGAAGTACAAATGCCTGCATGTATAAGATTGTATGCAAACATTGACAAAACCATAAAATTAAATATCCAAAAAAATTCAATTTCCCACCGATCCACACAAATTGCTATCAACGAAAAATAAATGAATCCACAGTTTATTAGTAAACCCAATGCTTATTTAAATACAATGACACAGGCCTCGACAATAACGCTTGTCCGATTGTCCGGTACCAGAGGAAAAAAAGGTCGGACAAGTAAAAGCTAGATCAAGCTTGTCCGACGGGACAAGTAAAATTATTCTGCAGAAAATAAATTTAATCCAACTTTGATGAACAAAGTAATTATAAACAAAAAACAAGAAAAGAAGATAAAAACAAGTATTAATTTGACATGTTTACTTGCAAACCGATAATTTTAAACTGGATCTTTGTCAGATACTTTTTAATAGGTAAAAGGCATACTATATTTCGGAAACCAGTTTTACTGATCCGAATCAGTGCGCTTTGTAGAAAAGGTAACTTTACAAGACAGTTCTTCACCAGCTGGGAAATGATTCCTCCTAAGTTTAATAGACAGTTTGGCACCGTAGGAGACATATTTAATAGACATGATTAATAGACAGTTTGGAAAGGCAGGAGACATTTCGGGACCAAGACAAATCAGTACCTTGTTTTCCTACCTTATTCTGTTTTCCTACCTTATTCTGTTGCTTTATAACAAACACCATACCGGTAATTTTTTTAACAAAAATATTTTTTAAATAAAAAAGAAGAAATTATTTACCATAAAATTCACAAAATCATATTTGATCATATGTAGAAAGAAACAATACTTGCAATACGGTGACCTATAGTTGTTAATTTCTGTGTCATTTGGTCTCTTGCAGAGAGTTGTCTCATTGGCAATCATACATCATCTTCTTTTTTTTTATTGATTGCATTTGAATAATCTTTTTTCAACTTAAACAACCAGGATACAAATCCAATGAGTGTACATTGACAGGCCTATCAGACGGTGCCTCATGTGCAGAGTCTGATGAGACTTTCGCATTGATGAAAACTAGAACCTAAGCCCTGTGACATGACTAGATTCAGTTGTTCTCGACTCATATTTTTGAAAAGTATTTCAAAAGATATAAATCAAATTCTGTTCTGTTGTTTTAATTCATTTTGTTCCTTGGATCAACTTATTAAGATTTGATTTGGACAAGTTCCAATTTCATTCGGACAAGTAAGTTTTGGGTTGTACTTGTCCTACTGGACAAGTTGAAAAAAAAGTTATTGTAGAGGCCTGTGGCACATTTTAGATTCCTTAGAAAGACAACTCGTACTCATTTGGCATGTCAGTGCTCCAGCTATAAATTTTAATAGACAGGCAGCTAGGGGAATTTTTCATTCTTTTTTGCCTAGGCTTATGTGTGCATCTACATTTGTATTTGGGACTGATCCATTTATCTATTGGTAACAGATCATATTATATCAGGGGTCGACTTAAGCACTGGTCCGCTGGCCTGAGGCCAGTAGAATTTTGATAGGGCCTTCTGAGAAGAACACAGCAAATTTCTGATAATTAATTATCAAAAAAAATCAACATTAAACTGAAACAGGCTTGTTGATTGACAAACTGTCAACATAGTTTATTTTGAATTTAAGTTTAATTTTTAGTTTTTTTTAACTCCAAAAAATTTCATTAATATTTAAATTGTGGTATTTTGTAGTAAAGTGTATTAAGAGATTAATGTCTTCATTGGTTTTTATGCCCCCGCCGTAGTCGTTTCCAATCTTTAACTTTAGTTTGTCTCAACCAAATGTTATAAAACTTATACACAACCGTTCTAGAGTTATGCGTGTTTACAAATAGAAAAATTGCTGAATTTTTAGTTTCTGTTCTCTACTTAACCCTTTCACCGATAGCTGCCCAGACAGAAGCTACTCTGAGACGATGGTTTCCCTGGCTACTATTACTCAAGAGGGGGATCTTCATAATAAATGTCAATAAAAACTTGTCTGTAGTTATTTGTGTATTTATTTCATTCACTAACACCATGTTCACAGTTTTGTTCATGTTTTGATAATTTTTTCTTCATAAAATATTCAAATTTTCAAATTTTCAGCATTATCTAGGTGAAATTCTCAAAATTCTGCTCTTTGACCCAAAATCGTAATTTTTTAACCCAAAATGGCAAAATTTAAAAAAAATTTAATGTCGAATGAGGCTGTACAAATTCCTTACACTGAACGATGTCCTTTCCAAGTGTTTTGTACATAAAACGACATTTTATGTCAAAAAAGTATACTAGTTTGGCTTCAATTCTTCCAAAAATAATGTTCCCTCATTTCAAATTCTCGTAAATTCCGTAAATTTCCTCTGATTTTGACACGGTTTTCAACAAACGGAAGCGCCATGTTTACACTTTCATCCGGGTATTCAACAAAGAAAGATAACTCGTGTTTGCACTGTTTTGAGCGGGAAATATAAAAGAGGTATTCCGATCCCGGTAAAACGGGACTCATCGTCAGCTGTCTGAAGCGTGAATCCCGGTAAACCGGGACTCATCGGCGAAAGGGTTAAGTTAGCCTCAACCAAATGTTATGAGACTTACACACAATGCTTATTACCACAAAACTCAGATCAAGTTTAAGTTTGGGTAGCGTCACTTTTACTGCATCAGTTATGTCCCTTTATAACTATATAATATGCAAGTGGGGGCATCATCTGTGTCCACATGTGGACACTATACACATCTATTTTTAAAATGAATTATGAAATTTGGCAGTACACTAGTGTTTAATTTCGTGAAAATGTGCAACCTCTGAATTTCAATTTAGGCTATAGGTACTATGGTCCTCCAGTTTTATATCAGCATTTATCATTCATAATTACAGGTAAAAAAAATTGCTAAATTAACCTACCTCACCACCACGTTATTTTTATACGCCCGTTTATGGGACGTATTATGGTATACCGTTGTCCGTCCGTCTGTCCGTCGTCAACATGTCGGACATTAACTCAAGAATGCTTTAACCAATTTGCATAAAACTTTGGTGAATTGTTTATATCTATTGACGTGAGCTCCTTTTCGTTTTTTATAAAATTTAGATTTTACGTTTCCGAGTTATGGGGTTTTATTCATTAAAAAAAGGGGGATTTTCCAGTTTTCGGACAATAAGTCAAGAATGCTTTCACCAACTTGCAAGAAATTGTGGTGAATTGTTTATATCTTTTGACATGAGCTCCCTTTTGATTTTTATAAATTATAGATTTTACGTTTCCGAGTTGCAGGGTTTTATCCATAAAAAAAGGGGGGATTTTTCAGTTTTCGGACAAAAACTCAAAAAATGCTTTCAGCAATTCTTATGAAACTTTGGTGAATTGTTTGTATGTATTGATGTAAACTCCCTTTAGAATTTTATAAATTTTACATTTTACATTTCTGAGTTATGGGGTTTTATTCATTAAAAAAGGGGTGATTTTCCAGTTTTCGGACAATAACTCAAAAATGCTGTCACCAGTTCTTATGAAACTTTGGTGAATTGTTTTTATCTATTGATGTAAGCTCCCTTTTTATTTTCATAAATTTCTAATATGGCATTGAGAATTAATTGAACTTTATTTGTTTATAGTCTGACAACAGATTTACTAAGTATTGCACAACAGCAAGAAATCTTTAATTGAATATAAATTCAATTCATATAACAAATTTAAGTTCTTCGAATACATTTATTCAGAAACCTATAATATGTCAAATATTTAATTCCAATCCAAATTCAGACCTGAATCAAGCTTGAATATTGTGTCCATTTCTGCTCCAACTGTTCAGGGTTGGACCTCTGCGGGCGTTTCTAG